ACCTTCAGCACATCCCACAGGACCCACGGGCCGGGTGCAAGTCCAAGGGGCAGCTTCCGGCGCCCGGCGCAGGATGCCGAGCAGCTCCTCACCCGAGGCATGTGGCTCTGATCCAAAACGCCATGGATCTAAATATATAAGAATCAATAATATATATATATATATGTATATATGTATATATATATATACACGTGAATGTGTGTATGTAAATATTATATGTATATATGTATATATGTGTATGTAGATATATATATATATATGTATACATATATAATGTATACGCTATAATACAATTCTCGGAAATGCGATAGCTCTCAAACAAACAGCAAGTAGAACCACCTACTAAAATGGCGAATGTGGGGCGCTGCTCATGTGAATATACGACCCATGCGGACTGAAATAAACCACCTAAGTGGTGCAGGATTTGGTTCATTCGAGAGGAAATGAGCTGCCCAAAACCGACACCTGTCCGTTGCTCATATGCGATGGTCGCCACTCCGGATCGGAGCATGGTTATGATTAGCAAACTAGGAATCTTTACATGGGTCGCCTACAATTCTACAAAAGCAGTGTTGTCGGCGGGGACTGGTCATTCAGGGAGAGTTCCCTTGCGGTTGCCCTTCCTGTGTGATTTGTGGTTTGAGGACACGGACACTGAATGATGCGGTTTTCCTTGCTAGGCTTCTCTGATTCTGAAATTCCAGGTTGGCCGGGAACTAAATTGTTGCCTTCTCACATGCAGACCCTTCATACATGGGCGGGGAGAGCCTTGATCGTATCACTTGGCATTGGAAACTGTGTGATTAGATTTAGCTGTCATTTAGCTTACAGTTGCCCTGGTACAGGGAACCTCCTTCCAAACCCCAAAAGGGCTTCACAGGGAAAGCAAGCGTCCAAGCGTCCCTGGAAAGCAAAGGGTCTTAAAGCTCGGACTCAAACCCGCCTTTTCGCTTCTGGGACACATACCAAAAAGACACCGCGGCCGCGGAAAGGCGAGGCTCGCTCTTGGATGCTGATCAAAAGGCCCGAAATACCAGGGACCAGGGACCATGGGCGAAAGCCATGAAGCAGAAATGGGGAAAGTGAGCCTTCGTCATGTGAAAGCTGAAGGGAATACTGATCAGCCCCAAAAGGGCTAGCAATTGCTCGAACCTCGCAGAGTGATGCCGTAGCCGCTCCAGCAGCGCGCAAAATAGGGGTCACGCGACACATCAAGCTGACACCCAAATGGCACGATGAAATGCAAATGGGGAACCCCCCTTTTCCCGTTGCACGCGGGAAATCTGCCTGGTTTTTAGTGGTTTCACCCCAATGGTCATCCCATGGTATTTCGGAGCTTGTGATCACCCCGCGGAGAAAAAAAACAAGAAGAAAGAAAAAAGGAAAAAAAGGAAAAACAAAACAACAAAAGAAAACAAAACAACAAAACAAACGTTGGAAACAAAGAGAAGCCAAAAAACAACACATGAGCATCTTTGGATCCGAACTCGTCGATCCGCTCCTCAAAGCTGACCATGCTGGTCGGCACCTGACCAAAGTGGCCCGTCTGGAGAATTCTCGAGCAAGGTACGACTGGGCTGTCCGTTTTCAGAATGCCCTGCTAAGACTTAAGTCGTGGGGGAAAAATGGAGACCCCTGCCAAACCAACTAACCTCAAAAGCTAAGGAACCGGACGGCTGGGAAGCGTCAAGATCAAGCACGCTGTTGGGCGGCTGTCATCAAGAACGTGTGCTGCGGACACGATTCTTCGGACACGCAGTGAGCACGACTGCTCAAGTTGCACACCCGTGGAAACCAAGAGACACCTTTATTTGGCAGTGGGTCAAAAATGGGTACCCAACCTGGAGCCCTGGTAAACGGAGCCCATGACCAAGACAGGCGGGTGTTTGGTGGCTTAATGTCGACCCACACCCATTTGATTTTGACACCACCCCTGAGTTGGACGGGACAAAGGGGTACTGAAGGTGAGCACGGGAGTCCGGAAGCTTTTCATGTTCCCCGAGCGCAACAAGGGGCGCTGCTTGCTGTGACCTGCTGATCAGTGAAGGAGAAATGGACAGCGTCTTGGGATTCCCGAATTAACCACCTGCAACCACCAGTTGGATGGTTTAGTTCGGGGTTCCATTTCCAGTTGGCCCCTGCCAATCGCACCAAGCACCAGCATAGGTGTCCTTTTAGGGAACATAGATGGGTTTCCCTGGTAGATTATTTAACCACCAGGTAAACCAGGAATCGCCATCGATTTTTCAACCAAAGCAACCAAAAAGGACAAACCAATAAATTTTAGCAGTTAAGTGGTTGGATTTCAACAGCAAAACCACAATAAGCAAACATGGGAAAAATGTTTCCCAACCACCATGGAACCAAGCACCAGCCAATTGCTGGGAGATCTCCGGAAAGGAAAACACGCCAGCTGCCTGCTCAAGCTGCTGGAGCATAGTGTCAAGGTCAGCGTTGGGAAAGCTGGCTCGCACGCACCTGAGCTGCCGCTTGACAGCTTCGGGATCGTTTTTTTGGATTGTCATGTCGGCTGATTTCCTGGCTTGGCATATTTCAAATAAGCCGGTTGCTTGTTTGATTTGTTTCATTTCAGGGGCTGCAGAACACAATCACTATTTTTGCTCACTATTTGGAGGTGAGGCAGGTTTTTGTTGAGCCCATTTTGCTTCATATTCTGCCGTTGAACGCACCATTGCGTGTTTGAGCAACGGGTGCGCTTCGTTCCCAGGAGACGACGCCCCAGCAAAACGGCAGTTCCTTTTGGTTGCTTTGAGCACTGAGCAAGTGGGTTGTTTGATTGCTTTGCAGCCAGTTTCAGGGTCAAACCGGGGCTTGAAGACCCAGAAGCGCCCCAAAAGCCGCATGCTGGTGTTGTGCCTAAACGCACCATGCGGATCTTGCAGCACAGCATGTCGCTGATTCAAGCCATTCCTACACGTTTCAACATCACCTTCTCGCCCTCCCCAAAAGTGGATCAATTTATTGGTTGTTTCCGTTGAAACTGGCGCTTTTGGAGGCTCCAGGGACATGGAGGAGACCCTGCTTGAGCCAAGTTTCTCGTAGATGTACGACAAGTCGTCACCTGGTCAGGCCCGGTCAGGTACATTGCTCGGACCTTTTTTTGGTATCCTCTCGACTTACTCCAAAATACTAACACACAAGAGCTTGTCAGCCTATAGAAGCATGGATGCACTCAGAGACCAACACGTGTATCTTGCAGGAGATCTGAGGTTGCTGGAAATGGTTGCCATCGGTTTATCTTTCAGTTTCCCTGTGGCACCAGTGCAATGTTACTCACAGCGCTTCTCTGCAAAGCTGGCGTCTATCAGTGACTTGTTGGCACCAACAGCTTCTGGTGAAGGGGGAAGATGATGGCCCATAGTGACATTGGTCACCAGCAACATTCATCTCAAGCAACTTGTGATGGTTCGGGTACACTCAACTTTAGAGACTTGCCAAATTCGGCCTGGCTGTCTTAAAGCAACAGGGCAACAATTGTTGCGCATGTCTAGCAATCCTCACAGTTCCGCAGGATCCCTAAACAAATCAGTTCTAAACGTCCTTACGGAACTCATGGTAGCTCCGTGGCCGGCTCCCTCTTCGGCAGATCTTTGGACACCCCCAGCTCCCTTCCAACCAGCTAGTCTAGACCTAGAGATTTCCTCCCGCCAATGTTCTTGGTTTTCCGCAAGAATCAGAAATGGAACGACCCCCATAAACCACTTAAACCATCCAACCGGTGGTTTCCTTTCAGCAGGGCCGTGGGAAATGGAATCCACTTCTGTAATGCAACAGAAAGGGCTTCCCAAAGACGAACTTTCCATATAAAGGGGGGAGATTCCGAAAAGTATCACAGAAGTGGTTGGATAAACCTAAACCCCTTCCGATTGATCCCACAACCCCTACCTTTCAGGGACTCCCCCAAAACCGCTTTCCTTCGCACGGACTCGCCCGGGCTCGGTGCTTGACTGCGCCCGGCCTAGCTCGCGGAGCAGCGCCCGCTTCTCCGCCTCGCCTGCGGCTCGTCCGGCCCGTCCGGCGTCCGATTTTGCGGGAAGAGCCACGCGCCGGAGCTGGGGAGGAGGCACAAAAGTGCACGCAAAACGGAACCCAAAACGAGGGATGAACAGAAATGCCGAACATCTTTGGGTTAAGGTCATGTCCAAATGAGAGATCGGTGGCAACAAACAGGCTCGATTTTGTTTCCAGCCGAGCCCGATTGGGAGTGCGCCAAAATGAGTTGGACGCTCGGCTCGACGGGGGACGAAGCATCAAAGGGAAGCAAAAAGGAAGATCTGCTCAGTGGCAGGCTCCAAGGCCGTGTAATTCTGAGCAAACGGATCCCGCGACCACCTATGTCTGTAGGCTTTCAGGTGAAAGGGATAGGGCACATGTCGTTTGCCAGAAACCGGCCAACCGCACGGAAGGTGGCACCAGTGTGCGAGCGGTTGTCCAGTGTGTAGGCGGCGACCAGTGGATGACCTTTCTTGAGGTGACAAACAAAAAGGACTTCCTCAAGAAAGGACTGGTGCGCAAACACCTGGTTGGACTACAAAAAGGACATCCCAACAACTCTCAGGTTGTTGGTGCGCAACTTCTAACCTGAACATTTTTAACAGGACTTTCTTCAAGAGGTGGGTTTTCACACGTGAGCTCCCATGCAACCTAAAAGAACACCTCTCACTATGAAACAAACACCTCCATTTGCTTCAGTCCCAAAACAACAGCAGTGATCGATTCCCGTTAAACGCACCAGGGGTAAAACCAAATTATTCAGCCTGACCCAACCGGACTACGAAGCTAGCCGTGACAGGAGCTCTCAACTACTCGAGGAGTGCACCTCTGCACCGGAGGTCAAAGGTGGAGAAGGCAAACCACATGGCAGACTCCTCACGCGCAAAGTGCGAAAATGAAAACCACACCGAAGGGTGCCAATTGGGTGTGGCTGAAAATTAACCACCTAAGGTTACGCAGGCTTTACTCTACCTTTCCATTTACCAGGGTTCCATTTTGGACCCCAATTTCTGAGCCACAAACCAATTGGAGTCAGCCCCTTTTGTCACGGACATGTGTGTTGTTGTGCGCAATGCCTCCCCTTGCAAGCTGGCGCTGAAGTCAATTCGAGCCACCCGCAACTAACATCGCATCTTGTACACCTTGTGCTTCCAGCGTCATGGCCAGTGAGTTACTTTGCTGCCCTGACCAGGCAGGTTCTGAAGTTCTCGGAAAACTCCAGGTAGATCAACCGCAAAACTGTGAATGCAAAACAAAGCGCCCTTAATTATGCCCCATCCATTCACCCGTGATTCCAGGGTACCAACATGCTGACACGAAAGTGAAGACTCTTGATCACAGCTCCCTTTCCTTTCCTCACTGTATCCAAGACTCTTGAAGATAAGACAAGGAAATAAAAGGCAAAGTGAGTGATGTGAGCGAGCGAACATAAGAGAACCGAAAGGAACGCAAGGAATAAACAATGATGCAAATATATTCAAAGAGATACACTCTGCAAGAAACAAGACAACGATACACATAAATACGGAACCTATAAGACAATGATTTATTGTCTAGCATTCCGTCCTTATTTGATGTAACGTTTATGTTGCAGACTTTAGACTGAACACCAGGAAAAGAGAGATACAACTTCCCTAGCTTTTACCATGGTCTCATTATCCAACTCCAAGCTGTGATGGTTATCAAGAGCTGATGCTTAAGAAATGGCATGAAGGATTCTTTACTTTCTAAACCGTACCAATCCTGAGATTCTGGAAGCCACGGAAAGATGAACATGGTATGAACAAGATAATGAGAGACATAGAAATCTCCGATATGTATCTCTTGCCTTTGCTATTTCCGATCTTTTCCATTCATAAGGCTTTTCGCTTTACATAGAATTCTCTCCAATCTGTATCTTGTAAAGTGCGTTTGCTGTTTCCTTAAGATCCTTGCGGTAGGAATTCAGCTGACATTAGCATCCTAAAAATGGCAGTGAATGATAGATATATATATATATATATATCTGCCTTCCTCAGTTCATCTCTGTATGTCTTACTATCACGTGATGCATCTTTATAAGATCTGTTCCTTGAAAATGATCTTGCATTCGACATTAACATGTCATGTAAACGATGTTGATAAGCGAGACAAAAAAAAAGATCAGAAAGAAGAGATGCAAATAATAATTACACATTGTAAGTTACAGATTAAATATTGAGAGTATTTCCAAGACAAAATGCAGCTTGAATAGATTTCCAGTCGTTTACAGTCTGTCCGTCCCCATCACTTGTATTTTGGTATTTTGAGGAGTTCGGAGTTCATATGCTTGCAATCAAATGCTGTGTCTTTTCACTATGCTCCTTCTTTCTGTGGATCTTCTCTTGATCACCCATTTCTGTATCCAAGATTGTTCTGATGGATTTTCGAGAAAATGCTAATTGTAAAGCTTAACCTATTTATTGCTTGTTGATGTCGATGTCATATGTCTCTTTGACATGTTGGTCATATCTATAATCTAATTATGTTCAGCTGTAGTGACAATTCCCAAATCGTTCATTTCATTGCATTGTCGTGATTATGTCTAGCTATCTGTTCATGTGGAATCTTTATCATGATGGACTCTATGACCTAGTATCAGGGAATGCCATGCCTAACTAACATATTCAGCTTTACTATCGTCTCAGTCATTGGTTGTAAGCATGATCATGTCTCAACGTGAAACATCTCAAGAACTGCAAAGATAGAAGTAAAGAACATTTGGCTTGCAAGTAAGACATGATAAGATGGGATTGGGGATCAGTGATAACAGAAAAATACAAGAATATATATATATATATATAAAAAAAAAACGGACAATAAAACCAGCGCAAACAAAAAGACCAGATTCCCAATCCATTGTTCATCTCTTTCCTTTGGTCATGCGACTCTCTACCCACGCATTTGTATAGATGCATCGTCCCCTCCACATCCTTCATGTCCGCAGAGAGGCATACCGTGAGGAAGAACAAATTAGACGGCAAATAAATTATGGTTCATGTTGCTTCCCTTGCTTTCTATGCAAACCTCGGAGCTTCGGGTTGCCAAAGGCCCCCATTGTAAGGCAGGTGTAAACAAAGTGCAGCCCCTCCTGCATGTTTCTCTGAAATGTCTCCTGGCGGGCAGAGTTGAAGTCATGTCCCGAGGCCGGTGCCGGTTTCAATGCTATCGCCGCAATCTTCAAGCCCTTCGAAATGGTAACCGCTATCACTGAGTTTTCGTTGTGTGTGTCAAAGGCACGTGTGCGTGGGTGCGTGGGTGCCTGGGTGCGTGGGTGCGTGGGTGCGTGCGTGGGTGCGTGGGTGCGTGCGTGGGTGCGTGGGTGCGTGCGTGGGCGCGTGGGTGCGTGCGTGAGTGCGTGCGTGGGTGCGTGGATGCGTGGGTAGGTGGGTGCGTGGATGCGTGGATGCGTGAATGCATGGGTAGGTGGGTGCGTGGATGCGTGGATGCGTGGTTAGGTGGGTGCAAGGGTGCGTGGGCGCGCGGATGCGTGGATGCGTGGGTGCGTGGGTGTGTGCGTGCGTGGGTCTACAACTGGTGAAATGTTCGTCGCGCCAGTCTTAATGTCACGGTGAAGGAACTTTCAGGGTGTGACAAATCTCCGTGGCGCTGTCTCTGCCAGGGGGTTGTCGAATTTATTGAATGCCCCTCCTGAACATGCTCGAAAACAGCGAGGTTGCTAATGCCGCCGTGATTTTGTTAATGTGGTTTTTGCCTTGGATTCCATACAATATTCACGCACAAGTACATGTTTATACATTTTTCCACTCAGCCGTTTCCAACAGTGTCCCACACGCAATGGACAAGCTTGGGCGGGTGTGGAGCATTCACGTGTCGAATCCAAACAACACGCGGCGGGGTGACGACATCTGTCAAGAAGTCATTGTAGTTGACAATGCCTGGCACCCACATGTGCCACGATCAAAAAAAAACGCTGCCGAGAGGACAAAAGGAAACTCGATGAGTCTTGGTTTTGAGGCTAAAACTGAGATCTCGTCCCTGCTCGTCCCCAAATTGACTAGGCCCTCCAGTAGAGAGGGTAGAATAAGGGTACCCTTTTTCTGTGGTCTATTTTAGTAGGGGAACCCTCCCCCAAAAAAGTTGGCAAAAAGGCACTACTGGGGGACCTAGTTGACCATAAGGAAAGGCCGAAGATCTCTATGATCCTGGGTCCCAAGTTGCTTCAACCCATGGCTCGGTGCGAGGAGCTATGCGGGTCACGGCTACATACCCTCATGCATGATTGCCCTTTGGGGACCCATGACCCCTCAAAATGTGGACTACTCGCATATGCGATCTTATGTGGAGTCCACCTCAAACTATCAAAAACCAAAAGGCCGGATCTCCGGAATGTGTCTCTCTTGGGAGCGTTTCTTCGCCCACCCTGGGCTGTCCTCACATCCCGGGCTAAAAGCTTGACTAACATTCGTGGGTCCAGTGGAACTACGGACAAACCCTAGAATGATGATTCCCCTGTAAACACCAACCAACCACGGTTTCCCATGGTTTCCAAGTGGTGCAGGAGTTCGTCCATCCACAGTACCACTAAACAGACTAAACGCTGAAAGCCTAAGGAACTGGATGCATCCTCATCGGTTTGTGCAAGTCGGCCAAAACAGCCAGCTGGGCCGAAATTGTCGGGCACCTCCAAGTCTTTCAAGCTGAGGTCTGCCCACTGCCTGCGAATCAGTCGCCGCACAACTTTGGGCCAACGTACCAGTGAATTACTTGGCCCTTACTTGGTTGTTTGGCATTTTGGTTTGGATTTGGATTTAAACCCCTGGTTCTTGCAGAGGGTTGTTTGGGACACTACCCCCAACCACCAAACCACCAATTCGTGGGAAGCTGAGTGAAGGAACACTGGGCCAGCTGTCACTCCCCTAAAACAGGGGTCACTAGATTTCCCCAAATCAAAAGTTGATCAGGCGTCCATTGCAACTGCCACTTTTGGAGGTTCCAAAAAGGGAAATGGAGGACGCCCGGTAACATGGAAAGGCCATTTTAGGGGAAACCGCCTGGCGTTCCAACCAACGTCAAGCCATGCTGCCGCACCCCGCCTTGCTACTCTCAGCACGGTGGACCACGGCAAGACGCCGCTACCTGGCGAGGGATTCCTGGGTGGACTGGCAACCATCAACCTTTCGATTTGCCGCTCAAATGAGACAAAAACCCAAGTGGGTTTGAAGTCCAGAAACTCACGTTGCGTGAGCCTTAGGGGTCCTAGCTGTCTTGGCGCACCTAATGATCCCAGCTTACTCTCTTGGCTTCATAGGGTGCCAGGATCGACAAATTGTAAGCCTGGCAAGGCTCACACTGTTAGGATTTTGCACCAACAGGTACAGACCACTACGAGAAGGAGTTCTTGCTCATCACACCTCGGCAGAAGCTTGCAGTTTGCCAAGGGTCTATTCACGTTGTCGCTGGTCGCACCAAAGCTGCGCAGGAAGACCGAATACTTTGAGACCAGCCCTGATGCCAATCTGCAGAATGCTATGGCAGACTTGCAGGGATGTTGGAAGGCCACAAGAGCAAATATGGCCTACTACGTGGCACAGAAGCACGTCTGTGGGAGTGTTCTACCAGCAGGTCCAGATTCAGCTGCTGCGTCCGCCAGCCGTGGATTCTTTATCTGGATAGAAGACTTTCAGGCTTGGCCAGATTTGTAAACTCGGCTTTTCATAGAGCAACTGTGGAACCCTGCTCTTGTGCTGTCAGGGCTTTGACCAAAGGCCGCCCACGAGAGCCAGAGCATGAGGTGCCAGAGGGCGATCCCAAGGCCTTACTCTCTATCAACGCCTAGTTGATGCGGCCCTGGATGCGAGACTACCGCAAACACAGCAGCAAGAAAAGAAGTGCAAAGGCTGTGAGCAGGAGTTGCAGCGGGGGCGGTTTACACCGAGTGGCTGAAAAAGGAGCCAATGGTTGAAGGCTGCTAAGCCGTGCGTTGAGAGTGTCAGAAAGATTTGGCAAGAGATCACTACACCGACAACCAGTGGAACAAGGGTAAGGCTGCCAAATGCAAGGCGTGCGGGGCAAAAACTACTTTGCAGGCAAAAGTTGTCGCACTCTCTGCTAAAGAAAGAACACTGTTTGCCAAGTCCAGCCAGTCTGTGCCTGAAGAAGATACGCCTCTGCCAACCAAACGGAAAAAAAAAAGGAGGAAACAAAAAAAAACGCAATCTTCTCGCTTGCCCACTGACTGCTTTGCCCTCTGACGCCAAAACGCTGCGGGCTATGAAAGACGTTGGGCGCCAAGACTGGCAGAAGGTGAACCCGCGGCCGGACAGCGGGGAGTTTGGATGCTGTGCAGTTGGAGTTGCTCAAGGCTGCGCACAGTGATCTACAACATCGCGGTAGGGATGGCATCGTGCGGGCGCTAAGAGCTGAAGGCAAGGTATGGAGTAACCTGGACAGTGACGCTGCCTTCTTTTGCAGACGCTGTGAAGAGTGTCAAGGTCTCACGACACGGGGTCTCGCAGCGCCGGCTCCGCGGCACTTGCCAAGATCGCTGTGCGCGGGGGAGGTGCTCGGAGTAGACCTCAAGCTGGTTCGTCCTTTTTCTGGCAGCCCATGGGTGATGATAGTTCTTGTGGACTTCACTATCAACAGAGTTTGGGCGTTACCAGGGTAAGCTCCCTGCCACTCTTAGACCTTAAGCAGGCCGATCCTTTGGAGTGTCTTCGCGGAATGTTATGTGTTATCATGGGATGAGGCTCTACAACACGAGTACTGAAAAGTTGTGCTGCTTGAGATGGGGCGGCTCATACTCTGCTACTACTTAGAAGATGCGATGTTTCAGCCGGGCTGTCAAAGTCAAAGTGTATTTTATGTTGATTTGTACTGAGCTGAGAACGATGCCCGTACAATTCCGAAACGATATCGCGCAGGTTTCGGCATCCTTTATAGAATGTATTTGTATAAGTGCTTGGGGAGTGTGGCTTTTTTTTTTTTTTTTACGGGGGGTTGATGGTTTATAACATGTCTGGTTTGGAATTCACCGCTGTGTTGCTAAGGAAGGATGTGACAGCTGTGTAGAACATTTTGCTCCGTTTGTATCTTGAGGTGGAGTTACCTTGCGTTATATGGTCAGACCATCGGGGGCAACTTGCCTCCGTTGTGGAAGCTTCAATGAGGCAATCGCTCGGAGTGACCCCGAAACACATCCCAGGGCGCCCAGAGGCAAACGGGCTGACCGAGTGCTTCAATCGCATTTTGGACTCATCGCACGATGGAAACCGAAGCAAGCTCAGACCGTCGCTGCGTTCATTTCCATCCCCATGCGTAGTACCCTGGAATGGTTTGGGCTGGTTCTTGTGCATGACTGGTGAGCCCTTGTTTAACTTGGTTGGGTTTGCTCTATGCTCTACCTTTCCGTAAGCGGGGGTGTTTTACAAGGCAGGAAACACACTGAACAACACATCCGTAAAGGGGAGAGCCACGCGTGAATGTTCTTTTAACTCTCAAAACCTAGGATTTGGAGTTGCGCCAGAGACTTTGTGGCGGACACTGCGACCGCCAGAGAGCAAATGGCGGCATATGTCTCTTAAAGCCACCATCAACACAGGGAATGTTGCGCAAATTTCGGATGCCCTCGACCATCACGCAGCCCTTGACAAAAATGACTACAAGAAAGCAGCAGATGCTTTTGTTGCCAGTGTGGCACCAGTCCTTGCGGTTGTGAGTAGCCAGCGAGAGAGAGAGAGAGAGAGAGAGAGAAAAAAGATGAAGCGCCACGTGCGTGTGGAGGCAAAGCAGGCAAGCGGGGCGACAGTCTCCGTGATTAGCGGGGACCGCGTGCTTGTAAAAGCTAGTCAGTATGCAAGTACGGTATTCTTTGCCAATTCATCGTTGGAACGGTAATCTTTGCCATGCAAATAACAGTGTTTTCAACACTGACAAAGTTGCATCTGAAAACGCTTTCCGTTTTCGTGTTTGTTGCTTTCTCGAATCCTGTTTTGCATCAAGTACAGAAAGCACATCTGAGACAATATCAAAAATGCACACAAACACTGTAAATTACAGTGTTTTCTGCAAGGCATCTGCAAACCAAGTGGACACTGAACATCTGCAAATAAATCTCTTCAAAAAGTAGAAAGGTAGGCCCTGGGGGGGGGGGTGACCATATATACATATATATATGTATATATATATATATATATGTACGCTTGAAAAACGAGTGTTCTGGCAGATGCAGGATTTTTTGTCAGAAAACACCGCAAATACCAGTGGTTTCAATCAAAACCTTGTTTGTTTTTTTGGGGGGGGGGGTACCATATATATATATATGTGTGTTCGTGTATATATGTATGAGTAGATATGTATATATGGTCTCGTGACCAGTGCTTACGGTCCCCCCCCCCATGGTATGGGGGGGGCCCCGGGGCGGGGGTCTCCGCCCACGACAGCCGCAGCTTTCTTCTCGCTGCCTCCATCCTCCGCGCCTTACACCTGTTCTTTTAACGTTTTTTGATGGCTTCAGCCTCAAAACCTGCACATGCTCAAAAAGATGCAAAAAAACAAACCTGTCAAAAAAATGCAAAAATGCAAAAAAAAACAGATGCAATGTCAGAGGTCAGGGCTTGATTGGTCTGGAGGTTTGCATTTTTTGCATTTTTGAGCCTGTGCAGGTTTTGGAGCTTCCAGGTTTGGATTTTTTTCATTTCTTTGAGCCTGTGCAGGTTTTGGAGCCTTGGACGCTTAACACCTGCACAGGCTCAAAAAAATCCAAGAAAACAAATCCTTTACTTGTTTCTGAAGAATGGAAGACAGATTGCTGAGCTTTTTCACAGAAGCATCGTGCTGCAAAACTTTCCAGAAGTTTCTATAAGCGTCTCGGGCTTACTGCTGCAAAGTCTGCAGCATATTGCCTGTTGCCTCCCACAGGTTGACACCCTTGTGCCAGTAAGCCCATTGGGCCGATCGAATTCGAAGGCTCAGGACGGCGCTCCCGGGGGTGCGGTTGACATTCTTCAAGTGGTTGCGCAAAAAGCCCCAAAACCGATCCACGATTTGCGTGCCCGATCTCACGCGGATTTGACCTTGCCTTGCACGATGACTTTTTTCTTCTGGTGCACGACATTGCAATGGGCCACATTCGGCAGCTTCACCTTGTACGCCTTGGCACCATCCGTGTGGAGCACCACATGCTTGTTCGACAGGAACTTCCGCCCGATCGGCAGCCGCTCCCGCTTCCTGATAGGCCCTGATCCAGGCGCTCGCTTCTTCGTGAGGCGCGGCTTGAGCTTAAACAGCCGCAAAGAGCTCGGGCGTCCCCTCTCCACAAGCCCTCCCCACTGCTCCCATTTCACCACCCGATCAGCCCGAACTGCATCAGGATCTTCACCCTTACCGTCCACGTCGCAGCCTCCACATCCTTCCATTTCTGGGTGACACCACAGGTGATGGACTTCTCTGTCTTGTGGACGTAGCGGGCCCTGGCGATGTCGTTCACTGCCTTGTGGTCGACATCCAAGACCAGGTGGGTAGCGTTCCGAGGTACACCAGCGACTGCACAGAACAACATGGCGGCTTGTGTGGACAAAGGAGTAGTTGAGTTCCCGGCGCCAGCGTAGAAGATGGGTGGAAGTCTTCGATGCGAATGCGAGCCTGGCACTTCTTTGCCCCACAGCGGTGCACCCGGTGGCTTCGGTCCTTTCTGTACACCTTTCCCGCATTTGGGGCAGAGCTTCCCCTTCCACTCAGGAAGAATGCGGTCCTTCTTCAAGAGGTGGATCAGCCTGATGCCCTCTTCAAGAGGTGGATCAGCCTATGCCCTTCAAGGACAAGAAGTTCATGACCGATCTTCCCCACCTTTCCCTGTGAGGCCTGGACTTCATGGTCAGGGTGCCGTGGCGTACGTACGGAGTCTTGACTGCGTGAGCCTTACTTGGTGGGCGCTTGTTGGCGCGCACTTTGCCTCTCTTTGGCTCAGGCCAAGGCGCTTGACGCTTGACCGCATGCATCATGACTTTTTTAGGCATGACGCTACAAAAACAAAGAGTGGCTACACCGACTCAGGGCCAAGATGCTGTCAGAATGAGCGTGCGCAGTGATGCAATACCTGCAGGCAAAAGCAGACAAGTGACAAATGCATCGGCCTTTCCGAACTTGCGCGCTTACAAAACTGCTTACTGCTTTCCTATCTGGCACCGCGTCTACTCAGCCTCATCACCACTGTTACGCTGAAGGCCACCACCGTGTCTTCCTCAGACGCCACGTCACGTCCATCTCCTCGATCTTGGTCTCAGCGGGGGAAGCCGTCTCAGCGGGGGAAGCCGAAGCCGAAGCCTTGAGTTTCTTCTTGGGCGGACTCTCCAAGTCGATGACGGTGAGGTGCATGGCCGACAACTTACGGGCGAAGACGTTCGGCTCTTTCTTGATGACCACAGGCGCTGGAGGAGCGGAAAGTGCTGAAGTAGAAGATGGAGCAGGCTCTGCAGGAAGGGGCTGTGGCTGCTGATCAGGAACTCGCACCTGGAGGATGGTATTTGGTCCGCTGGATCCAAACAGCCTCCGCGATGCCGAGTAATCGATTTCCACTGGCCTTGGCGGCAGGTCACGACCCTTGTTCTCCATGATCGACGTCATCCAGGCTCGTTCCCAGCGAAGGTGAAGGTCCAAGTCGGCCGGCACGCTGCGATCACCCTTGCGGTACTGCATGTACTTCAAGCCTCCTGAGCTGCGCAACAAAGACTTACTTTCATCGAGGCGCTTGCGTTCGACCCTCGCCTCTTTCTCACTAGGAAGACGCCAGTAGAGGAAGTCGTTCGTGATGAGCAAGACACACGTGCGCTTCATGACCGCCATGACGTCAGAGACTGACGAACCCTTCATCCACGCCGGCTCAACCATCTGCATGAACTGCTGGTGAGAAATGGAATACCCTGCGTTCTCGAAGGAGGGCGAGATCGATGTCGTTGGACATATAAAGACGCAGCTGGCCCTGCGGGAACTTCGCGGCACCCCACCTTTCTTTTGTGAGAACTGTGTTGCCCACGTCGCAGAAGCCCTTCAACTTCCTCATGCGCTGTTCAGCCAGTGAGCCATCGTCAAAGATATCCGGACGATCTTGGCGACCAGCTTCACCTCTGAAGAAGTCGAACTCGCAGGCCTCGCGGAAGCCGGGCTCGTTCTTCGAGTTCAGTTTTTGAACCCAGTAGCGTGACATGGCCATCGCAACGGTGCGCCCAAGAGGCGTCTTGCCTACGTTGGGGACTCCATGCATGCCGCAGGCTTTGTCCGTGAAGCAAGGAAAGATTTCCTCCAACACAGTCAAAACCGAGGTCTCCACATCCACGAGCGTGAGGGGGAAGTCATGCTTCTTTGATGAGCCGCTCCGGCCAAGTCTGAATGGGACTCTCGTCTGAGATGAACTGCTTCGAGATCCATCTCAGCTGCGTGTTGCTGCGGTGGGTTCTAGGCCCATGTGCCTCGATGAAGTCGAAGCCTTGGTCGATGTTCTCTTCTGTGAGGCCCTGGAAGAAGTTGTTGTTTTTGTTGTCGGACTGCATGCCACCGTTGCCACTTGCCTGAAGAGCAAAGGCCTGGACCTGGAAGCCACCCATCTTCTCCAGCATGTACTGGATGGCCTTCTTGGTATTCTTGGCATTGGCTTGCCAGGAAACGGTATGAACTTCTCCATGACAAAGGGTGGAGACGAACTCAGCCTTAACTTGATCCGGGAAGATGATGTGCTTCAGGAGGAAGTGCTGCCCATTAGGAAGAGGAAGAACAACAAGTTGAAGACCATATGACATACCAGGAGAAGTCTTCAAGCGAAAGGGCGCTGGCATGTCCGCACAGCGGCCATCCTTAGCCGCGCTGCTGACTTGAGATTGCAAAGTAGCATCGAAGGCTATAGGGCCAACAAAGTCGAAGAAGTGCTTTGCCTTGCTCTTGTCCTTGGGATGATCAAGAGGAAGGTCAGTAGGCGAGAAGGACCACGAGGCAAGTCCACGACATTGGGCTTGGACAAGTTGTTGAGGAAGAGCGCGTTGGTGGCATTCAGGGCCGTTTCCAGAGAGATTTCACCGGCTTCTGACATCATAGCTGCAAGAAAAAAAAAGGTACTTTGAATGACCTGGTTTGAGCTTCTAGCAGCAGAGTAATATATAAAGGAAACTGTGTACAACATCAAAGCGAAAAATGTACATAGATATATATATATATATGCTCACCCCCAACTTTTGAAATTATCAGTTTTTCTAGACTGCACAAGTGAAAAGATAGGCCCTGGGGGGGGGGGGGTGAGCGTATATATATATATATATATATCTAGATATATCTAGATATATGTGTGGCTCAGCTTTCGGGGCCCCAGCGATCAAGGTCCTGCTCCTGGAGGGAAGTGCCAAGCTGCTGCAACAGCGTCGCGTGGACCTCGATCCCAAGACTCGTGGCTCTTTAAAATAAAAGCTGATCTGGTATACCTGAACCCTCAAAATAAACTTTTGCTTTTTTTTGGTTAAAACCCCAGCATTGTGGGGCGATACCCCGTTTTCCTGGGTGGTTTGAGGGTCCAGGTATCCTGTTTAACTGACTTTCTTGTGGTTTTAAAGGGAAACCAAAAGGACAACCGCAATTCTGGGGGGGGTACCCTACACAGAAAACGAGCCACCCACATGCACCGGCCCCGGCGACAAAGGCAATGGGATACGTGGCTCTCAGAGTTTCTCGGCGTTTGGGAAGCCCTCACAAGAAGTTGCCGCTGTTCGATGGTCACTTGTTGCTGGATGCAAGGGAAAAGGAGGGGAAACCAAAACGGCAAGAAGCTGGAAACCTTTGCATCTGACTACATGGGTCATGAACAAGGCAAAAGGGAAACCTGACGGTCACCCTTCTTAACCCCAAAAAACCAGAGGCCCGATTTCCGATTTCAGGACACTTCGATCGAAAAGGGCCTCATGTGCCACGGCGAGCACCATATCACGCTCAAAGGCATGGTACCTGCCAATGAGACGCCCGTCGATCCATCGAGCCCCAGAAAGGGGGGGGGGGTGGGGGGGTGAATTAAACCCCGCCTAAGCATGGCGCGTATTCCGAGCGGGGAATCACTGCCCGGCCTTAAGAACTCAAAGGCCTTTCCAATGGGCCAAACTCCCAACGTTCTGAACCGCGTTCGTTTCCCCAAGGGAAGGTCTAGAAACGTCCGCAACGCCAACCTGACCAAACCCCTCAGAGGGAAAGCGCCTTCACAGCCCTGGCTGGTTGGATGAGAAGCCTCTGCCAAGCTACCGCTCGAGAAACAGCGTGAATTCGCACTCACTGCGTCACATGGAATTATCTTCAGATCATATGTTCTAACTTTTGAATTCACTCTCTTCCTACCGCTTGACTTGGAGTCTGTCTTTTTGATGGGGCGGGGGGGCTACGTGTTGGCCTTGTTCTGATTCTTTTTTGGGCCCCCTGAGAGATCCCACATATTGACAAGTTCATTGACCGCATCCAAGCACAAAGGCCTGGAACTTTGGACTTCATGAAAATGGATCCCAAACTGTTCCCCACGACTGGCTCTCCAATTGAATTGTCCTGCCAAGGTTGAATGAAGCCCTTGTACTGGGGGGGCAAGCAAACCGATGCTTTGTGAGCTCTATATGCTCTGTAAAACAAGTCCAGTGTGTCATACCAAAAGGGACCCCCCCCAAAAAAAAAGGATCTGCCTGGGTTCGGACTTTTTGATTCCAGCGTAAAGTACCCGCTTGAGCACTTTCAAAATTAGTATAGGCTTGGCGCTCTTTGATCTGGGTTGAACTTTGCTCAACCTTGGCCATACGGTGGATGCCCTAAATATAGCAAGCAAGACCATATTGTACCATCATTTACCATGGCTTTGTGGTTGAGTATGGTTGATTTGCTTGCGATATACTTGGGTGTCTTTTTTCTGAGGGCACTTCTCCTTTTGGTTTCCCTTCAAAACCACAAAACAGGGGTACCAACTCCAAGAAAAGACCATCCGCTGCTCCGGAGGAAACTCCAAAACAATGGAAACTCTGCTTTCTGACTTTGACCCCCACAACCAGTCAAAATGGATCCAGTCATCCCGGAAAGATTCGGATTAAGCTCAGCAAGGGCAATGGCCTTCCCTTGGCAAAACTCGAAATCTGCGTTGTTGTTTCCCACAAAATTCGAAATATGTTGTTTGTTTCTTTCTTTCTTTTTTCCGTTTTCCCACGAATGGATCCCCCAAGACATGGGTGGCTTTCCTCTTAGCTTTCCCTTAAACCCCCCCCCCCGTAAAGAACCTCAAAAACCCAGACCGCGGCCATGGATTCTCTAAACGACTTGAAGAAGCCATGCCCTTGGCTTGGGAAACTTGAAATCAAGTTCAACCATCACTGGCTCGTTTTCCGACATTTGAGTCAACCGAGCCAGAAATGTTTCAACCAAATGATCAACCGACTTGTTTTCACCATTTCGTGAGAAAGTTCAAGTCCATGAATTTCCCCAACATTTGGGCATAGGTATCACGTTCATTGGACCCTGGTTGGAAGGGCAACACCTTAGGTGAAGGGCACAACAAATACATTCTTCACACTATGATTGCTCTCATTATTATCATCATATTGTAAATAATGATGTTGTTCATATTATCAAATTCATGATTATCGGTATTATAGAGTAGACAATCATGTCATTCACTACACAGATATGTGCGTCATTCTCACACTGATATCACTATGAACAGTGTCTTCCAAAGACCCGCAAAAACAGTTGTTGATGTTGATCTTGGTTGATGGAGGAAAAAAGGGCCAAAGGCCTGCTTTTCCAGGGTCTGTCCTCAGATCCCCCGCTAAAAGTTTGACTGTTAGTGGGTTCAATGGAAACACCCACTAAATCCTGAAAGCTAGACACCTAAACCGCATGGCCGGGAACCAGCAAGGCGGAGACGTTCACCGCCCGGGGGGTTGACTTCAAGGAAGGCCCCTGGGCCCCAACCAACAAAAACTAGAGATACGCGAGCGGGGATGTCCGAGGACTCTCGGCATCCCTGCGAAATTGCTTTAAGGGAAATTGGTTGGGGCCCCGGACATTCTCTTTGCAGTCCCCCAGAGGTCTCCCTGTTCACACAAATGGTCAAACCGAGACAGAATAGCTCCCAGAGATTTCTCTCCACTTGCATCTGCGCTTTTGCCCCCTGGAACTTAAATGAGACAAAATATGTCCAGTAGTAAAATCGACCCCCTTTAAGACCAACAGGGTTTCGTTTTTCTCTTCTTTAAACAAACGCACGACATTTCAGCAAATGGACGTCCATCCATCTCGGCGCACTCGGCAAGGCGCAGCAGCTTGGATCGCTGCAGCTCCGCCGTTGGCAGCGTGGACGTGAAGCTGAGACTGGCGACGCGGCTCGTTTCTCGGCGGCTCGGCGTGGACCCGGTGCTCCCAAACGGTCGGAGCCTCCAGGTGGCTTGGATGACCTTCGGGTTCATCTCCAAAACCCCTTTTGGTTTACTTGTGGTCTTGTTTTGGCTCCTTTTCCTTCCCAAAACAAATGGCTGGTGTCCTTTTGGCACTCTTTTTGCCATCCGAAAAAGGAAGCCGATTCCTATTTTGAGACATCCGAAACCGTGGGTTTCCTTTGGTTTCCTTTTGAACACACAGTGCCCTAAGAAACGCAACAGAAAATGCCCCCAATGAAAGCTCTTTGGGCTTAAAACACGTGTTTTGGGGAGCGATAGCTGAGACCTCTTTCTTGCTGTTTTAAGCTCTATTGAGTTTTGAACTGGTTGCATTTGGGGGGTATCATTTGGGGGGTTCAATGATTCTATGATGTAACAACAATTCGGTAGACTAGCCCCAAGAAAATGGGGTATAACATAACCTCTAGATGGTGGTTAGCCGTTTCCTTGGCAGCTTGGCAGTTGCAACCAGGGTTCCGGTTAAATCAAGGGGGTTCCTGAAAGGCCCTTTGGGTTGGCACTAACCTCTTGGTTTCCGATGGGCTGTCTGATTGTTTGCACACATTTTCG